ATATATTTGTTTTTTTGAGTGAAATAAATTTAAAAAGGTCCAACTGAAAAAAAAAGGTCCAACTGAAAAAACTCACAAAGTACTACTGGCAAATATCACTCTTTGCTGAAAAGTGATTTTTTTTTTAAATGAGAACAAAAGTGCTGTTTGATCCACCATAACTTTGCTAACATGCAGAAAAGGTCAGAACTGGCATTATACTTTTATGAAAATCATTTATTTATTTTGTCAGGTAAAACTAACCAGAATGCCTTCAAGCTACTCAAATAGCAAACATGGATAATTAGCATCACTGGGAGATGTGGTGTCTCCTTGTACTCTAACCTCCACTTACATTTATCAGTAGAAGAAGTAAAGGTGGTGGCAAAAAGACTAAATATTGATGGAACTGACCACGTTCAATGAAATTTAAAAATTATATCTGACTTTGTTAAATTTGAATAGCAATACCTCCCTCTTCTCACAAACAGTTAAAACTTCAAATCTGAGTTAATTTTACTTTGTTTTTATCACATTTTGTCTTTCTTGGTACAATAAATAAATAAATATATAAAACTAGTTATCACATGATGCTGATTAGATTTTTTTAGTGCCACAAACCTAAACAACAAGAAGTTGGAAATACATGCAAAAAACTAATTATTTATCTTATATTTTGTAGACAGTTAATGTAGTAGCAGCAATCAATGCTACAACTCTTCACATCACAAGCTGTCTGAGTTTGTTTTCCATTTGCTATGTAAAGAAAAGGTTAGCCCCAAAGCAGTCTGCAGCTTCAGCCTAGTAAAAAAAAAATAATACAGAGAAGGTGTTATGACACATGGCCATGGAGTTACTTGAAGTTTTCAAATAAAAGAATATGAAAAACTATTTTTCAGTGATCAGTAGAAAGAAAATATGCATTTATTTTGTCTTCATATTGTTTGGGTTTATGCAATCTCAGTAAATAAATGTGATAAAAAAGGCTCATATATCTCTCTGTCTATTATCTGATTGCCAAATAAACATTCAGTCAGTTCCTCTGTCTGGCGACGGTATCTTTTGTACTGAGGTTTAAGGAGTTTTTCAAAACAGGAGTGCCATTTTTCACGCATTACTCTGCATTTTATTTGCCTCATGCCATACGGAACATTTAGTTGACAGGAAGTTACAGATTCTCGTTGTATTTAAGTTTAGCTTGTTTAATATGTTTATACTTGTGTAAAAAAAGACATTTTGTGTTTAGAGATTTCTATTTAAGCTATTAATGTTTAAATAGAAAACCCTTATAAAACTACAGTCTATGTTAAGTTTTACTGTCAAAACTTAAAGAAACATGTATTCATGGGCATTTTTATACATTTGTAAATATTTTTATTATTATTATTATCATTATTATTTATTTATTTTCATTATTTTTTGGAAGGTGCTCTGGATTTTTGATCTAATCTGAAAATCAGATTTGGTCATTTGTTTATAAAGTTTGAGAACACCTATGTTCTGTGTGGTTCCTGCACATAAACAATACATATTAGCAGCACAGTTCAAAATTGTTAGTGATTCTTTATGTACCTTTCTAGCCTATGCATTATTTAGTGTGATGTAGTCAAAAAGTATACGTAGGGGTATTTACATCACAGCTCTGTTAAACATATGACACACATACAGTATGTCTGTGCTAAGGTTGGGAGGAAGCTACAAGGCAATTTTTGTTGCTTTCTCTGGCTCTAAGTGGAGGTGACAGCTTTCAAACATGTTGACCTTGTGAGGAGGAGGACTGACTAGCATCGCTGTGACAGAGGGAACATTTCTGGAGGCATCCTGCAAGGCTTTTTTGGTTCAGGAGAGTCTATCATCAAGGGAGCTTGCATGATAGCAGGAAGAGTGGCTTTTTCATTTTCTCATATCAGTTCACTTCAATGACACAACTAAACTCAGGTTTGGCTAGCTTGACCTTGATTAGCGTGGGTAAAGAGAGCTTTGTACAGGAAGCGTTTGATGCAATCAAATGCATTTTGTTTTTGTGCAGCGCATTGATTTATAAAAGTTGAATGCATAAAAATAACATAAGGTGGGATAAAAAATGTATAAAAGCTTGTAAATGAGGAGGTTGTTTGAGCCCTTTCAATTATTATTGGATCGGAGATTATGCACAACTTTGTACAAGGTCAATACTTCAAAAATGACTTTAAATTCATATAATGCTAAATATGTACAGGTTGGGAAAACATTGAGAACACTGTCAAGGTTTTGAAAGGTTTACTTAGGAAAAGTAATAGATGAGATATGTCAGTTTCCCAGTTTATAAGCCCTCAGTGTCCCGAGAGGACTGTTGTAGCCTCTGGCCATTCTCCCCTTACCTTAGGCATCCTCTGAAAAAAAAAAAGTCCTGATGCTTCTGGTCATTCTGCATCCCTGCATCTGTCCAAAAATAATTGGTCAAGAACTTTCTCTCCAAAAAAAAAAAAGGACCATAAAAGAGTAATAGCTTGCAGCAAAAACATACATCTCTGACAGGTCATATTTGAGACCAAATATGTGTAGACATAAACGATGTACAGAACCAGCCCCATAGTTTCAAAAGTTTCCTTTTTATCAAAATTCCTTAGGTGAAATGTGTTTAGTCAGTCTGGCTGAACACGCTTAGCTTTGTAGTGTAACATCTTAGTAATCATCAAAAAATAAAAAATAAAAGAAAAGAAGACGAGTTTTTTTACGAGTCAAATTCCAGGCAAATGTTAAGGTATATTTATAGGAAGGTATAGGAAAAAAGGGGCAGACATTAATTGTTTCTTCTCTCTGCTGCCTTTTATTTTATTGTATTTGTATTTTCATTTTTTATTGTACATAGAATTCATTTAGTTTTTTTAAGAAATAATATAGTTTGAAACAAAAAAACTGGCCTCTGTCTTTTTAAGAACTTTTTACTGTTTTTGACATTCCCACTTCAGCACGTCTTCACTACAATGCTTTGGTGGGGGGAGCTCTGTGGGGTGGAAGCTCAGCTTCAGACGGAGCTCCAGGGAGGAGCTTTGTACAAATAGGCGGTGCTTTGTACCAGCAAGCAATTAGACAGCACCAAATGGCTACCACAGGCGATTCAGTGATTTCTCAAATATGTATAAATGACTCAAAGCAACACTCTAGATTTGTTTTTGATGAGGAAATTACATTATAACAAAAAAGTTGAGTTTGCATAATACACCCCTTTTAAAAAAAATAAAGCCACCTGTGGTGATATGACTGGGTTTTTGAACTCTGATAAAATACCAAACTCAAAAACAGTTTTACAGGTTTTATTTTGAAAGTACAAGGTAGTGGTGAGGTTCTGGATCTGGACGTCAGGAGGGACTGGTAGCTCTGGACACAGAGAACAACTGTTATCAAGGTCAGGGTTTAATTCGAATGAGAAAAATAAAACCACTGACCTGGTGTTCGTAAGAGTGTTCCATACAGAAGCGCTGTTGACAGTCCGAAGCTGAGTGACGTCGTCGCTGCTGTGCGTTGCTGGGTTAATTGGTCCGTGAGGTGAAGACAGAATCCGAGGG